AGAACTGATTAACTGATTAAGAATTAAACATTGTAGGTATATGTACCTGAAGACAGATGAAACTTTGCTACATATTTTTTTTTATATTTTATGTTTTCTTCAACAACTAAAATTAATACAGTAAAAATCAATCAATACTGTACATGAACGATTTTCGTGTTTATTAGCGTGTCTAATGGAAGCCACTTGCGATTAAACCGTTTATAAATAAACGAATCTAAATATAGTCCGGTAACAACAAACAAAAGTTATCTTTCCAAACAAACAGAAAAATGCAAAACTATTATTTTAAGAAATTTTAGAAGTGTTAAATACTTACAGAAAACGCAAAATTAAAAATCATTAGCAAGGTCCTCATACAGGCCATTACGGCAACAGAAAAAGACCCCATATTTCAAAAAACACTGCAATAACAAAACTTTACGAAAAATAAAAATACACACAATTATGTTAATGAGACGAAAACAAACGAACAATTACCAAAACGTTGCAGAATTCTTTACAATTTATAATTCTACGTTGATAACCTTACGCGAACGATAAAAAAATCGTCAACCCGACCACTGCACACAAGTCTGACGACCGACCGATCAAAACACATAAGCATGCGCTTGTACAAACTGCGAGGATGAAATATTTTTGTTCGTCTTTCTCTGTTCTATACAACGATGTTTTTTGTTGTATTGGGTCACGTTATCATGTTATCAGGTAAATGTTAAATACACAACCTGTTATGAGAAAAACAATGGGAAATTTCTATTTACATATTTTCATTACAATCGCTTATTGAAGTTCGACATCGTATTCCAGAAATTATTAATGAGAAATGACGATTACGTCAGCGACATAGTCCATACGAACCAAGNCAGGTTTGATAGAACTGAAAAATACAGTGCTGTCTTACAGAAAATCATCAAATCAATATCGAAAATTTTAAATTAGTTATAGATATTTTTAATAATTACTTGCTTAAGAGTTTTGAAAGTATGTTTATTAAAAGAAACCGATTAAGCTCACTTGTTTATCTTACTACCAATCGTCGTAACTTAAAAAAGGTAACTTTGTTAATGAAAAGTATTTCGGACATTCCGTGTTGTGATTTCGCGTTGAGCTTTTTGGTGCTCGAAAAGAGCATTGTTTTTAGATCGATTTTGTATAATTTAATGTGAAATATAATTAGAAACCAACGAGTTATTTGACATTAAAATCGGCCATTTATTCCATCATTCTCTATAAAATAATTATCCATAACGAACCGCAATTAATTTGATTTTACTTCCAGCTGATTAATGCATTTCTATATACTATCGGTCACGATAATTTACCTTATCTCGATTTTAAAACTTTTAAAATAATAATGATAAAAGAAGATGACTCATTTAGTCTTCTTTGTATGTAATATAGTACACAAAACCGGTATTTTTTCAACTTAACTTACAGCATACATAATAACAGGATTCCCTTTATCGCTAGACCAACAACAAGCGAAAAACCCCGCAAAAATAACAATTATACCTGTACCAATTAAAACATACGACGGAGCATAAGAATGCTTAGTAGTAAACTGTAAAAAACGATTCAATTTCAATTCAGCCCAAAATCCTGCAAAAATCATTGCCAAACCAGACATCTGAAACACCACTTTTAATAAGTTAGTTGAGACATAAAACGGTTTTCAAAATACATGGGTTACATTATTAACTTACAAAGAAAAGTACCAGCAGAAACATTTTAGATTTTTCATATCTATCAATTGCTACGTCCGCAATGTTATTCCTTGTCTTCATTATTCCTTTTTTATTCATTTGTATTATCACGATACAAATCTGTCATTTTAAAAATCAAAAAATTAAACTGCGTACACAGAATGCTTAGATTTCACATCAGTATTAAGGACAACAACGAGAGCTAAGCCGCGAATAAAACGTATCATGAAATTTTGTACACACATTGTCAGGGGTACAGCAAAGGACGTAGGGTACCTTCATCCAGAAAAAAATACTGTTCCAGAGGGATATAAAAATTAGTTTTATATGGACGCTGGTGATCCTTGACACGATTTAAGGACATCAGCGTAAGCGAAATCGCAAGTAAAACCTAGAATACATGTAATTCTAAAACTGTAAATTACTTCCTACACATGTAGGGTCCAGACAAAATATTCGTGTAAACCAATTAAAGAACATAAAATTACTCTTTGTTAATTAAGAAGTTGCACATGCGTACGAAGAATTCCTAGTTAAAATTGAAAACAGTTTTAGCAATTGTTTATAGGCATATAATAATTGACGCTTTTTGAATAAATTATCTTTATTATTAGGCACAAAATGCTGCTTAATATATAGCTACAGATAGATATAACAATAGATACTGGATAACTATTTTATATAGTTGAAGGAACAAACACTAACAGTATATTATCGTGAGATAACTGATAAACATTTCTATGCTTGTAACTCTGCATAACATACTTAAGTACAAAGGTATGTCTATATTTTTAAACAAAATCAGCATAGGAAGTTTAATATAGTTCAAGCAATTTACGATATAAATATACATTATACATAACTACAGTAAATTTGGTCAAAAAGTTGATGTTCTCATATGTTACGTTAGAATAAATTGGATATAAACTTTTGCAGTATTTAAAAAATGTATAAATATCTAAGTACAAAAGACGAATATCAACAAGGTCGAATTTCCATCGAAAATAAAGAATTATATTGGAAAAATATGGACGAATAATGCTATTTATTTATCAGTCAGTCTACTCATAGAAAATTCATCTCTATTTTTGCAAAACAATTCTTCAGTTTACGGCGAAAGAACCTTCTTAATACATATTCGTCCTTTGTAAAATATAAAAGTCCCATATCAAAAAATATAATTGATTCGAAAATTGACAGACAAGGATGTACGCTATGCTTTTATCAAAAATATGAATATATCACTCAAAAAATAAAATTTTAAAAACATGATTATCACTACTCATAGTTAACGCTTTAAAACCTAATACATATGGTTATACGTTTGAAGAATTTTAAAAATATAGAGAATAACAATCTAAAAAAAATATGCAAAAGGATTTTTAAAAGTAATACGTATAATCCTGGAATAAGGACAAACATTTTTAACTGAATACTTCAACTATTTGAAAAAAGTTTTCTAAATTTTAATCTCCATTTATTCCATTACGTCAAATATGGTATATTTAATTGGTCATATCATAATGGGATTAATATAGGTACGTATTTTATTCCATCGGCTCGTAATTAGCCTTTTTAATAGTTCTGGCCAGACAACACGTCAAAAATACTCCGACTAACGAAAAAAGTGCAAATCCAACTGCAACATAAGCCATAATCCCCGAATGCGAGATTACAAAGTCCATAACTTTATTGTAACAACCCTAAAATAAATATCGATTTACAACTGTTTTGACTATAATTTGATTTTCATTTATGAATTATTTATTACAAATTAAAATTCGTTATTTCTGAACTGGCCTCAAATTAATTTTAGTTTATTAAGTCTGTTTTTACTTGCTATAAACACTTAAAAGGTGCAAATTAGCAAAACAATTATTGTAAAGGTAATGAAAGTTTGGAAATTACAGACTTTTTATCTTTTACATTATTTTGCTTAAAATTAGTACAGACAGTACAAATGTAGGGATAGATATAGAGAGGCAGAAGATTAGTATGCTTAATTTGCAGACGATATAGCAGTATTAGCATCTAGCAAGGAGGAGTTAGAGATACCTTTAAATAAAATGGAAGAGATATTGACAATACAGTATTGTATGAAAATAAATAAAAGTAAAACAAAAATACTGGTATTTAAGGGAAGAAAAAGTCCAGAAAGAGCAAATGTAAAGATAGGAGACGAAAAATTAGAAGAAGTGGCTGATTTTAAGTGTTTAGGATGTCAGATAAGTCAATACGGAAGGATTAGTAGGATCGAATCGCCTTAAAAAAAAGACATATTAGAGGCAGAAACAGGAGTTAAGAGGAGTAGAGGTAGACCTACATTAGATTACAGTTCACAAATAGGATGTGGGATATTCTAGTTTTAGGGAAATGCGAAGATTAGCTCAGGATAGGAAGGAGTGGAGGTGCGTGTCCAACCAGTCTTAGGACTGACGATCTTATGATGATGATGAAAATTAGTCCATTCAGTAGGTTTTTGGTGGTTTAGTTAGATGCTAATAAAAGCGTTGGTTTCATAATTGATTAGCCATGTTCAGAAATTCCTAATTTTACATATAAGCATTGAAATATCCATATTTTTGTATAAGGAAAATTAAAGTACACTGTTTCGTACATACCTGCGTGTAAATCTCTTCCAAGTTGAAAGTATCACACGAATCATTTTTGCAGCAAGATTTAGGAACCACATGATTTGAATTAATCCAATCCATATAATCATGATTACCGCAGCAATGAAGCTAAATTTATTTCATTTTTAAAATAGTAATTCATGTACCAATACACACTTTTTTTCTCAATTGTTTTCAATCTTTTTAGTCTTACGATCAAACAATAAAACTTTTTATAACAATTGGAACTATAGGCAAGAGTTAAAATTATTAATGATTTTTTGTCCTCGATAAACCCCAGGCTATAAATTTTTACGACTGCATTAATAATAATTTACAAATATCAAAATTTAACGCTCTGTAAACGAATTTCTAAAAATCATCAAAGAACAAAATATTTTCAGAATAACCCAGGAAATAACGCCTTGAAGTTTCACTCTGTATGTAAGAGGCCTTTTTATTTTTCATACAACAAATGTTATAATTAAACTACCTATTGTTTTCGAGACCTTACTTGCTCCCCCCCTTCCCCGAAAAACAATACCAGCACGGTCACATACTACTTAAGATTGTTTTTTCTGCACCGTGACTACAAAATGTGCACTTAGCAATTCTTTTATTGAAATGACTTAATTTGTATACAATCGCTACCTGTCAATTAAATGCCCAATTAGCATTTAATAGTTATGATTACTAAAATAACGAATTACCCTATTACCCACATTACCATGTTTCATCCGTAGGTATTATTTAGAAATGTGAAAGTCTCTTCACATAATAAAAATTATGTATAAAAACTAAGAACAACAAAAGTTGTTGAGACCCTTGTAATTCTTAATAAGGAATACCCTATCGTGTCACATTCATACAGTAAATTAAGAAACTTACCGTCGATTGAATAAAATCTAATGCTCTACTATTGGGTGAATCTGAAGGACGATAATTAATAATGGTTTCATTTAGACTTTTATCAAACCCTTCTGCCAATTTGTAACGATAAACAGCTATATAAATACCCTCTCCGATTTCCAGAATCATTGTCAAAAGTATGAAAAATCCATACTAAAAACGAATTACAATCAGGCAAATTAAACAAATGACTAATAACAAATAAGTATTTCAAAAGAAGCCGGCCGTTATTGACAACGAATTTACCAAAATTAATAATTCAAAACATTGTTTTAATAACATTATTAAGAGACTGCATGTGTACTAATTATTCAATGATATACGGAACGTACCGTTGCAAATGTGTGCCAGAGGCGGCGATCGATACGTCGGCAGGCTTACACCTTCGATAGCCGACAGTACGTAAATTTAAATGCAAAACATTTTATACACAAGAGTGCTATATCCTCTTCATTAACGATAAGTATAGAACTGTTAACATTTATTTTAAGCGTAAAGACATTATTAACGTATATAATTTTTATNCCCACCCCCTTCGGAGGTGGGGGCCATCATTTAGATCTTTACCAAAAAAAGAAATACGAATATTGTTTAATAAAATTGGTCCGGACGCAGTCTCTTAATAACATTATAGGTACTATATTGTTTTTACTACCTGTAGGTAAATTTTCATGTACTTCGCATAGGGACGAGGCCAGCGTTTTTTCTCTGCAGGGACCATAGGTCGCTTTTAACGAAAACAAATCAATTTTATGCTCTCGATTCGTTAACTTGGAAATTCGAAGAGGTATGTTTAGATTGGATTGTCTACTCAATATCCGCAAATAGTCCTGGTTTTTAAAAAATGCGATATTGAAGGTAGGAAGAAGAAGAAGTGCGCATATTCGAGTTGAAAACCTTATGATAATGATGGACTAAGGGTGGGCCACATCGTTGTAGTATTGTATAATCCCACATATTATAGATCAAGATACATCGAGTTTCGTATTAATATTAGAAGCTATATTACGCACCTAGGGTAAAAGTAATGAATAGTCCGTCTCAGGCCGCATGTTTATTTTCCCCAGTGGTGCTTTTGCTAATTTTCACTGCTTCTCGGCCAGGAAATTAAATACTGTTTGATAAGTAATGTAGCAGTCACATTTACAGAAGGATAATGGCAAAATCTCTCAATTTGGTTAAAGTAATAGATGTTATTTTCTGCAACTGGTAAATTAATTTTTTTTATCGCTGTTAACGTGAAATTATATAGGCTTATGGTTTTATATCTTCATTTAAGAAAACTCAAAGCGTCTTACTACATTGTTCTAACTTTGTAAAAAAGAAGAGGAAAAAAACACATAATTTGAAAGACGAATGAGCAAAGAGAAAAAATGAATTAGCTTTAGCAGCAGGATTTAGACTGAAAGTGAGAAATAAGACGGGAAGATACTGGGAAAGAGAAAAGAAAATATTCAGGTTAAGTAAATTGTAGCCAGGTACAACATGTATATAAGAGGTGTAGAATAACAGGAAATAAGAAATAATACAAAAAATGGGAAATTTAAATACATGAGGGAAATCTTGTGTTAAGTTAAGCGGAAGTTAAACAGCAGAAAGAAAATAATGATTAAAATATTTAAGTGAAAATAATCTAATTGTAAAATTCATATGTATAAAATAAACGAAAAATGCACCATATAAATATAAAACATAATGTTTTAATAGAGTTATTATTATGTCTATCTATCTACATCATACTAAGTTAATATTCAGGATATGAGGATGAACCTAATTTGTCCGTGACTTCACTCAGGATGATACTTCCTGTTAAGGTGTAATATTAAACCAATTTCGAATGATACGTGTTTGTAGTAAGGAAGTAAACCAACTAATGTGAATACGATGAAGATATAAGAGAAGACCAAACAAAATTATATGAACAAAATGCATTTGCTCATATTCAGAGAAGAAAATAAGTAAAAATGCACTTATTTTTCTTAGTACCTAACACCGTCATTGTAATTTATATCTAAACGCAATTTTTTACTAACAAAAATAAGATTAAATACTATTAGAAAATTTCAGCAGTTTTAAGAAAAAATTACACAATATGTGCATGAAAAATGTTGTAAGACTTGAAAGCAAGGAAATGTAAATTTCTGATAACCATATTGCAATTTGTAAGTTAACTGCATGAGATATTTCCAAGTAGGCACAACTTTTAGATTTCATCCAAGCAAAATTCCTTTAGATGGAAGTTAAGA